TCAGAACGTCATCACGCGACCCTCCGTTTATGTCACCACTTGTGAACCACCTCCTGAATCAAAGAAAAAGAGCCATACAAAACAGAAATACTGAAGCAAATACACGATTGCAAGAAAATATCGACAAGTTAATTCGGGAAAATCAATCAAGTGCAGTCAAACAGGAGTTGGCAACCAGAAAACTGGATCGAAAAGTTGGTGGTCTAACGTAAATAGCATTACCTCGAGAAAAAAGAAACAAGATGTATCTGTAAGTGCTTCTCTTAACCCTCGTGAAATCAACAAATATTTTCAAAGTGTGAATACGGACCCAAATTATACGACTCCCGAGCCTCTTCAAATCTCCGAAGGAACAAGAATCCCTTCGTTGTCAATTCATGAAGTTCAACATATTTTACTGAATCAAAAACGCTCTTCATCGGGTCCGGACAATCTGCCATATTGGTTTTGGAAATCGTTTGCTATTGAATTAGCTCCTATTGTCACAGAAATTTTTAACATGTCACTGAAAACCAGCAAAGTACCTCAGAAATGGAAATCCGCTAATTTATTACCACTCCCAAAAGAATCACCATTAAATTCGTACAACCAGTTAAGACCAATCTGTCTGACGGACATCATCATGAGACTATTCGAGAAGTGCGTGTATAAATCTGAAATCGCACCTATCATATTAATCGCACCTATCGCAGCTGTTTGATAGCCTAATTATGTCGATATTCACTTTTGCTGTTGAGCTGTGGGGTTGTGCATATGACGGTAAATATTTGAACCAAATAGATAAATTCATTAAACGTGCACATAAGAATGGTTATATATCAAAACGAACACACATTAAAGAAATACGTGATAAGAGAGATAAGAAACTGTGGAACAAAATAACATTAACTGAGGAAAATGCGTTGCTTGAACTGCTGCCGGAAAAAAAGAAGTAGGTTACTTAGGCCTAGAGGGCATGAGTATGAACTCCACCTAGTGAGAAAAGAAAGATTTAAAGCTCGTTTATAAATCGTTGTCTGTATAACTTTGTCTAGACTTTAATGTATTTAAAACTTTTTAAAACTTTTTACGCTTCTTAACTTACATTGTAAATATAACTATCTAGATCAATTACCTTTCGATTGTAAATTCAGACGGATGTATCTGAGTATTTTTAATAAAGACTATTATTATTATTATTATTATTATTATTATTATTATTATTATTATTATTATTATTATTATTATTATTATTATTATTATTATTATTATTATTATTATTATTATTATTATTATTATTAGTTATTTAGCGGAATATCTTAGTTTAGTTATTTAGCTACTTAGCGGTAAATATTTTAATTATGTAGCGGTATATGTTCCAGAGTTTGTTTTTAAAATTTAACTGTATATATCAACAAACATTTAGGCACTTTTTTAATTATACCCAAAGAACAGATTATTTAATATAGTCATTGATAACAAGCACCAATAGGAACATTCAGTACGACATTAACTCAAACACAAAAGTTGTATTGAAGGCATTTAGACAAAAAAGGCGAACAGCGACTACAAAATAACCTAATGTCACAAGGTTCTTTTTTCTCAAACATCGTGAAAAACTCCACGTTGGCATTCAATTCCCTATGGTCATCGGTTCATTCAAAACTTCCTAAGAACATATTTAACTTCAGTCTACGTTACATCAACAATTCTTTGCCTACTAGGAAAAACCTAGTTAAATGGGGTCTGTCATCATCTGCTGACTGTTCGTTCTGCTTCTGCCCTGAATCGCTTTTGCACGTAATCTCTGGATGTAAGACATATCTAAACGATCATCTGCTAACTGTTCGTTCTGCTTCTGCCCTGAATCGCTTTTGCACGTAACCGGGAGATATACATGGCGACATGATTCAGTTTTGAATCTCATTGCGTCCAGCCTTCTCGACGTCGGAAGGTCCAAAATGTATGTAGATCTGCCTGGATTTATTAGCCCATCTGTCATCACTGGTGACGAGTTACGACCAGACCTTCTATTGACAATTGAAAATAATATTTTGTACATTCTTGAATTAACTGTTGATTTGAAACACACCTGAAAACTCAGATCGAAAACATGAAAAATATTTGACTCTAATTACCGATCAAGAAAATATATATGATGAAGTTAAGTTTGTTAATGTATCTATAAGCTCTTTAGGTGTATTTGGTGAATCGACGAATACTTTATTTGACATGCTCCATGATCTGAAGTATGACGAACAATGTATTAAATATGTAAAAAAGAAAATAATTGCTACTTGTATTCGCACGTCTTATTATATATTCTGCAGACGAAACAAAGACTGGAACAACCCAGAACTTTTAAACTTTTAACTAAATTTAAAAGATTTTCACCTGTATATATATATTTTACCTTTATATTCAATTCAAGTGGACATCGATAAGCTACCTTTTATTAAGTGAGGTTTATCAATGTATATATAGCATATCGTAAATATCTAATAAAAAGTTTCCATTATTATTATTATTATTATTATTGTTATGTCCGATAATCGCTGCCTACGCTATAAACACCTACAGACAGCCAGCTCGGCTGTTTATTGTTGGCGGCAAAGAGATTGCGTCAGCAGAAGGAACCAAACAAGGAGATCCTTTGGCAATGGCCTTTTATGCGATAAGTACCCTGCCTTTGATCACGATTCTACAGGCCGCATCTACCGTGAAGCAGTGTTGGTTCGCAGACGATGCGAGTGGAGCTGGTCGTGTGACACAAATCAAAGATTGGTGGGATGCATTGAATACTCTTGGTCCAAACTTGGGATATTTTCCGAAAGACGAGAAATGCTGGATTATTGTTAAGCCCGAAAAGGAAGAAAGTGTGAGAGAAGTCTTCCATGGAACGGATATCAATGTAACAGTGCATGGGCAGAAACACCTGGGAGCAGCGCTAGGTTCACGAGAGTATCTGGAGGAATATGTTAATGAGAAGGTCTCTAATTGAGTCAACGAAGTGACAGAATTAGCCGAATTTGCACTGTCCCAACCACAAGCCTCCTATGTCGCATACACATTTGGTTTGAAACATCGTTGGACCTATTTCCTAAGAACCCTTCCAAACATCCAGGACCTACTAGAGCCACTCGAAAAGGCAATATCGCAGATTCTCATCCCCGCTATCACAGATCACCAGTGCAATTCTCATCCCCGCTATCACAGATCACCAGTGCAATCCATGGCCATTCGATCGGGACATTCTAGCACTTCCAGCACGTCTGGGTGGCCTGGGCTTGGAAAATCCAAGTCATGAGGCAGAACGTCAGTATGTGTCGTCAAAGAGTGACAGCACCCCTTGTTGATCAGATTGTAGCGCAGTTACATCAGCTACCCGAGGAGTCGCATATAAAATCAGCGCAACAAGCCGTTAGAAAAGAAAGAGTGCAAGAATGGGAGGAGAGGGCAGAACGTATTAGAGAGAGTGCACCACCAAGAATTCAGCGTATATTAGATGTGGCTTCGGAAAAAGGATCATCTGTGTGGCTCACAGCACTTCCCCTAAAATAACAGGGATTCAACTTGAATAAGAGAGAATTTCGGGACACCGTAAAGCTGCGCTATGATTCGCCAATCGACGACATCCCCTCCATATGTGTATGTGGGGATACCTTCACGGTTTACCATGCGATGATCTGCAAAAGTGGAGGCTTTGTAATTATGCGCCACAATGAGTGAAGAGATCTGGAAGCGGAACTCCTCAACATTGTCTGTAGTGAAGTCCAAGTTGAGCCTGTCCTACAAGACATCTCGGGAGAGCAACTAATAATGGAGGCTTCAACAGAGCACCTGATGCTAGACTCGACATTCGTGCACGTGGGTTCTGGGAAAGTCAACGATCAGCCTTTTTTGATGTAAGGGTTTGTCATCCCAATGCTGATTCGTACGGGGACCTGGAGCTACGCCAAGTCTACAAGATACACGAAAACGAGAAGAAGCGCCTATATGCAAGGAGAGTCCTCGAAATAGAGCAAAGAACATTTACGCCACTCGTATTCACCACCACAGATTGTATGGGCAAAGAATGTGTGAGATACCATAGTCGATTGGCAGAGTTGGTAGCCATAAAGAAAGACGAAGATTATGCGACAACTATTAGTTGGATAAGAGCCAGAACTTCATTCGCTTTATTGTGATCGGCACTTACCTGCTTGAGGGGTTCAAGGGCAAGGAAAATCATGTATAATATTAGGAACATTGATTTCAACATTGAGAACGCCAAGAGTGCTGTCTCTCAAACATTTTAGATTGTACATATACAAAGTTTAGTTGTTTAGTTATTTAGCGGAATATGTTAGTTTAGTTATTTAGCTACTTAGCGGTAAATATTTTAATTATGTAGCGGTATTATTATTATTATTATTATCATTATTATTATTCATTACGACATCGAGCAGAGCGTTCAAACGCGTTCTGTACATGTCCACAGTTTTATCGCTGGTTTCTTACTTGAATCACATCTATATTTGTTTAAAATTAAACACAAAAGTTGCTAATCATGATTCGTTCAAGTTTTATTGCTATGTTGCTCACTTGCGTCGTGTGCTCATTCTGTGGCCAAGATTTTGTAACGCTTGGGCGACACTCATGGCGGTGTAAACAACGTATTAATCATGATCAAAGCCGCTCTGGAAACACAGAAAGAGAAATGCCTGCTTTGAGTAATCCTAACATACCTATTACACAACGAACTGTAATTAAATGTTGCTGCGGCAAAGTTTGTAAAGGCAATCGGGGTTTGAAAATGCACCAGCGTAGCTGTCAAGTCTTACATGGGCTAAACAACGAGTTATGTGCAGATCTTGAGGAGCAAATTGCGCATGCAGATAACCCTGAGGATATTATAACGGACGACCACCCACCCACTACACAGTCAACTTTAGACAGTGAAGAAATTACTCCTGATCTAAAGAAAGGCATAAATCTTCCGAAGAAGGACTCTGAATGGGAAACGGCCATCGATTATTTTAAATTTGCAATCCCTTTTAATGGACCAATCATATCGCAAGATTTCAATTCAAGTATAAGGCATTTAAATGATACTATATATAATTACTTTGTTGATAATTTTGGAAATATTGAGACAGCCCCCGACAAGAAACTCGTAGCAAAGTATAAAGATCATTCTATAAAGGATTTAAAGAAGGCTTTAAGCAATCTAAATCCACAAATTCGGAGGTAGCCGAAATAAAATATGTGTCTCGTATTCTGCGCAATAAGCTTCGTAACCATGGTGATATTCAGACAGACTCCAACCGAGACAACTCGTTTAATAAGCTTCGTAACCATGGTGATATTCAGACAGACTCCGACCGAGACAATTGGTGATATTCAGACAGACTCCGACCGAGACAACTCTCATGACAAATACATAGAAAGAAATTTTTGGGGTTATGTTAAAAACGTTTTAAATAAGGAAGATACTGTGTTCCCATCCTTCAGCATGACAGAATGTGCGGTTTATTTTACTAAAACCTTAGCTGCAGTTCACCCTGGCAAACTGTTTCATATTCCTAGCTGGATTCCTAGGTTATCTGATCCACAAGTGCAATTTGACCTTGACCCGCCTTCTTACCAACAAGTTACTGCTGTTATTCGTAAAATGAAAGCATCTGGTTCTCCTTGTCCTCTCGATCAAATATCAATTATATGCTTTAAGCGATGTCCTTACGTAAGAACTTATTTAACTGAACTAATACGCGCCATCTGGCTTTCAGGATCTATCCCGAGTGAATGGAAAAAAGCTTGCACTATACTTATTCATAAGAAAGGCAACACGAGTATTCCCTCAAATTTCCGACCGATCACACTCGAATCTATACCGCTTAAAGTATTTACATCATGTCTACGTAACGCAATGTACTCCTTTCTCACCGCCAATAACTTTATAGAACATAACATACAAAAAGGCTTCACCCCGAATCTGTCTGGTACTATGGAACATACTGCGCAAATGGCTAATATAATCAACAAAGCTCGGATAAAACAACGTTCACTTGTCATCACACTACTTGACCTCAAAAACGCTTTTGGAGAAGTTCATCATAACTTAATCCAATCCGTCCTTGGCTATCATCACATCCCTAATCTCATGAATAATTTAATAAAAAGCTTATACACTGATTTTAAAACTTCCGTAATTACTTCTGAGTTCCGTACCCATTTTATACCTGTTGGCCGTGGTGTTTTGCAAGGTGACTGTCTTAGTCCTCTACTATTTAATATGTGTTTCAACACATATATTCAACATATCAAAGCTGAAAAGTACCGCCTGTTCGGTTTCTCCCTCCAACTCCTTAATCCAATCCACTCGTTTCAGTTTGCCGATGATGCTGCGGTTATTACTGGTCAGGAGTCGGAAAATCAACATCTCCTTAATCGATTCTCTATCTGGTGCCAATGGTCCAACATGGTTGTTAGAGTTGATAAATGTAGCACATTTGGCATAAAAAAAGTTTTATCAAAATCTGCCCAGTACCTGCCGAAGCTTTTGATCAATAAGGATCTCATACCAACGATTAAGACCGGACAAAAATTTGAGTATTTGGGACGACACTTCGACTTTAGCATGACTAATGAAAAACATAAAACTAAACTGATCTCCCTCATTGATGAACTAATGTCCGAAACAGATCTTAAACCTCTTCACCCAAAAAACAAAATTTTACTTTACAGTCGTTATGTTTTGTCGAAACTATCCTGGCATTTTACTGTTGCTACAATATCTAAAACTTGGGTAGTCGAAAATATCGATTCTCCGGTGAACAAGTACGTCTGAAAATGGCTGGAAGTCCCTATATCTGGAGCATTAAGTAACATCTTTCTAACCCGTAATAAGTTTGGTCTAAATATCATCCCTGCATCCGTCAAGTTCATTCAGTGTCAAACAGTTCTACGCAATGCCCTAAAAACATCTCCAAACGATTCAATTAACGAACTGTGGAAGTCAACTAATAATCATACTAACATTCAATACGATAGCTACAATTCAACTAAAGAAGTTTTAAAAACGTTCCATTCTCAACAAGAAAATAAACTTAGGGACCGTTTGAAATGTCAAGGTTCCTTTTTCGAAAATGTTTCTAAATTCTCCCTATCACAACTTAACGCAATCTGGTCGGTATCGCAATTAAAGCTACCAAAGAACATTTTCAACTTTACAATTCGCTATATGAATAATACCCTTCCTACCCGAAAGAACCTCAGTAGATGGGGAATTTCATCAAGTTCTGACTGCTCGTTCTGCTTACACCCTGAATCACTTCTGCACGTTGTTGCCGGTTGTCAACATTACTTGGAACGATTTACTTGGAGACACGATTGCATACTAAAGTTTCTTGCAAAAACCTTTCAAAGTTTAAACGAATGCAAATTACTTGTTGATCTTCCTGGATTTGAAAGCCCCTCGATTAGTACGGGTGATGAATATCGTCCTGATTTACTTGTCTCCACTTCAGACAAACACCTCTACGTTGTTGAACTTACCGTAGGCTTTGAATCAAACCTCACAAACAATGTTAACCGCAAGAAAGCTAAATATAAGAACCTAATTAGAGAACTAGATCAAAACTTTACATCTGTTAAATTTATAAATCTTTCAGTCAGTTCGTTAGGGGTGTTTGACAAAGAATGCCATACATTCGTAAAAATGCTAAATGAGTTAGGACTGGATAATCAACACCAACAATATTGTATCAGAAAAATGATATCTATTGCCATCCGATCAACGTACTACATATTTTGCTGTAGAAATAAAGAATGGACAAATCCCGAACTAATGAACATTTAAAGTAACTATTTCTATAAATAATTAACAATTTTTGTATATAAAACTATAACCACGTATAAGTGATTCAAGTAGTCAATTGTAGGTTACCTCAAGAAGTGAGATTTACAATTGTATATATCTATAAATGTTGTATTAATAAAGTTTTCATGTTGTATTAATAAAGTTTTCATTATTATTATTATTATTATTATTATTATTATTATTATTATTATTATTATTATTATTATTATTATTATTATTATTATTATTATTATTATTATTATTATTATTATTATTATTATTATTATTATAATTACCAGTATTGCTGATAAGATAAAGATAAGCGAAGTTTTAAAACCAACTGATGCGGGAATCTTCCCAGATCATAGCCTAATCATGTTTGATCTAATCAGGACATGCAATCCATTACCAAAAGTAAAAAGATCTATATTTAATTATCGTCGAGCTGACTTTGATGGTCTACGAGCACATCTTCGATCACTTAGCCTCAAGGAGAAAATATCTGATCATGGTGATATTAATAAAGATTGGTCGGAATGGAAAGATTCGTTTCTTGCGGCGGTGAAGCAGTTCGTTCCAACCTGCAAATTTAAAAGGTCGAAAGTCTCTTCCTTGGATGAATAGTACAATTCTGCAGTTAATTAAGAAGAAAAATTCGTTGAGAATGAAAATTAAGAGATTACCTAAGAAATCAATTTAAAAGCCTCCGCTCTACCATCAAACGAATGTTACGTGACAGTCGACTTGAATACATGAACAAAATCTGCGTCAGTCGTGACTTTTTTAAGACGAGGTCTAAAGTCCCCAACATTCTAGGGAAATTTCAGAACCATCCTCAGAGATACGAAAAACTAGTTTCATATTAATCTGACACTGCTATCGACCAACGAAAAATTCGTTGGCTCGAGCGAGATTTGAACTCGCATCTTCGGGTATCCAGACCGCCGCTCTACCTATTGAGCTATCGAGTCAACAGGGATTGGTAGCGAGTCTTATCCAATTTAAGTGCACGAAATATATTCGTGACGACTTACGCTTGTCTTAGAGGACGCGCAGTGATTTAATTCTATTTCAGAACCAACGAATTTTTCGTTGGTCGATTGCAGTGTCAGATTAATATGAAACTAGATTCCAGGGGAAGTTTCCACGAAAGTAAATGATAGTGAAAGAATGCACTCGAACGAAACAGAATGCTCGGACGTTGTCTTCGAACATCGTGATCGTCTGCATAACGTAGAGTTTGAGAATATCACATTATCGGAGGAAGAAATACTAGGTGTGATGATGAACTTAGACCATAATAAAGTACACGGTCCAGATAATAAGATTGCACCATCTTCTCTTTGCAACAAGTCTTTGCGTATTGACGTTGTGCCTGACGATTGGAAACTTGCGAACGTGGTCCCAGTCTACAAACGCAGGGAAAAAGCTGAGGTAGAAAATTACCGATAAATTTCACTACTGTCCCTCATCTCAAAAACCTCGAACGTTGTGTATTTAACAGCATCAAACATCATGCTTACGAACAGATAGATCCTGGCCAAAATGGTTTTTTGCCGAAAAAATCCTGCATCACCCAACTCATCGAAGTCCTTGATCACATCGGCCGTTACTTAGACCGTGGTAAACAAATTGACGTACTTTATTTAGACATGTCCAAGGCCTTTGATAAAGTGAGCCACGCAAATCTGTTACATTGCCTTCGTGAATTCAGGTTTGGAGGAAGCATTTTCAAATGTTCGGTTCATATCTGACCAACCGATATCACTGACAAACGACCTTTCTTGGAACAACCTCGAGGCCGCTTCCAGTAACATCAGAAGTGCCACATGGGTCCATCCTCGGTCCATTATTGTTCCTTCTACATGAGAATCATCTCTCAAATTCTGTGACCAATTCAGGGATTGCAATATTCGCGGATGATACCAAGATCTTCAAGACCATCAATTCGATCTCTGATGCGTCTGCTCTACAGAATGATCTGTCAAACTTCCAAGAAAGTTCAAGCAGTGTCAACCTCGAATTAAATAACACCAAATGCAAAGTCTTAAGAGTCACTCGAAAGCACAATAAAATTACTTATCCATACAAGCTCAACAATACCATCTTAGAGTGTGAACGAGATCTTGGAGTTTTAACATCTTCTACTCTGACTTGGTCTAAACAAGTTGAACACCTGTGCAACAAAGCCACCAAAATGCTAGGATATGTCCGAAGATCAACCTTAAACGTCAAAGATTTCATGGTTCGCCGCAGACTATCCTTATGTCTTGTTCTTTCCCAGCTCTGCTATAGATCTCAAATTTGGGCACCACAATCAGTGACCTTAATCAAATGCGTGGAAAGACTTCAAAGTCGCGCAACAAAGTACATCCTAAATCTGCCCTTCCGGTGTGACACAACCTACAACCAAAGACTTGCACTTTTAGACCTCCTTCCATTGTGCTACTGGCATGAATTTCTAGATATGGTAACCTTCTATACATTAACGCATGGCATAATGACCATTGACAATAAATAATACAATCTTCACCCAACAACAACAGAAGAGAAACCAGGTTGTCTGATCCCAATCATCTGTCATTTACAACGGCACAATCAAGACCACTACCTACCAAAGATCATTTCTCAACCGAACAAAGCGATTATGGAACATACCATAAAAAAGTTTGACAAGCAATAACATTAGTTTAGGACAATTCAAAAAAGGACTTTCTAAATATTACAAGTTAGCGCTGGAAGCGCTTGATGATCAAGGACATGGAAATCTATATGTTTGTCTTGTAACAAGTCCTGTCCTGTCAAATATCGTGTTGTTATTAGATTTGTGTTAGTTGACGTATAGCATTAGCATAGTTCGTGGGGCCGCTGTAATTGGTGAAAACTGTTGCGTGCACTCTGCCAATGGAACACATATTATGTTGTTGTAAATCAGTACTGTTAAATGTTGCATGTCACTTGGCAAAGTTAATTAAATTAAATTAAATTAAATGATATAATTATGTTGCTTCCACATTGCATCATCTGCTTATTATACATTTACTAGGACAGTCAACATTCACATAGTGGTGGTACTTCTCATCGTTGTATCCATATACAACATCACCCATGGTTCACAACATTTGATCCATACAAGAGTAGCTATATGGTGTAAGGACCGAGTAACCTCTGCTTCAAAATTCACTTTCAATTCGATGGCAGCTAATCTAAGTTCCCGGTTTAATATGACAATGGTGATAGAAGTTCTGAATTTAAATTTTTCTGCGGATAATGTGTACCATGTGTTGGATAGATTGAAGCAGTATAAAAGAGAGTCTGGAATGTTTGTGATTACTAATCTTGGCTTAAAAGAATCGTGGCTCTGGGCGAAAATGTTAGGCAACATTGACTCAGTCATAGTGGATGTTCTACATCCTAGTCAACATGAAAGTATAAATTCACAGGTTGGTTGTGAAATCAAAATTATACTGCATAGTTTGTTACTGCTAATTAAGGGCGCAATGGCTAATGGTAAAGGTAGGGGATGTGAATCCCTCTTCTCCCTGAGGGGTGCTAATCCTATTTTTAATTTTATTTAATTGAACATATTCACGCGTTTGCGTATGAGCGATATAATCTCATCTAGGAGTGGGCTCTAGGCTCACCTATTTCCTTGCTATTTACCTATTTCGTTGCAGGTGGTTTCTAAGCTCACCTATTTCCTTGCAGCGAGGAGTTGAATTAGCATTTTTTGCGCCATACGACCAGATTTTGTCCGCCAATCTCAAGAGACAAACTGCGTGGTTATGTTGGCCATAGTGGCTATGTTGGCCTGAGCAAGGAGTTCAAATATAGGTGGCTTTACGAAACAATGTTGCGCACCAGATGGTGGTTTTGGTTTGTGGGCAGGAAATTGTAAAGAAAAATACTGGGTTTCTTGTCTTTGTAAATAGTAGTCTTGTATTTGCTGGAAAATTGATGTGATAGAAATTAATGGCGTCGTTTAAATCGTTTGCTGTAGCGGACGATAACAATCCTATAAAAGGAAAATGAAGGCAAACACCCCTCCATCCGAGAGATAACAGATTTGCGAACTAGTATTAATAATTTTTCCGCACCATGAAAGCCGGTGTAACGCGACATTTCTGACTTGCAAAATATCTGAATATTGTAAGAACTCCCCATGCGCAGACGATGCGCATGAATGACTTTGGCTCATAAATTTTGCAACTCAACAGACGACACGTGTATTTATACAGTCATTTTACTGAATAATATGTGGTAGATAAAACATGAGCAGCCGATCTGTATTTGATATACAAACTCGAGCCGAAGGCGAGAGTTTGTATATCAGATACAGAACGGGTGCGAATTTTATCGTACTTAAAGTAATGTTTTATCGTACTTATCGTACATAAGATCTTATGAGTTCATTGGCGAAGTAATTTTAAAAATAAACATTGTCTAAGACGAGAAAATCAAAGCTGAAGTTTATGTAAATCAGGACAAATCTTTATCCGATTTACATCTAATCCGATTTACAAACATTGATTAAACATTAATTTCTTTTGTATTTTCCTCCTGAATTATTAATGAATTTTTTAATTGCACATAAATTTTCAAGTTTTACAATTGATCAACTGAATTGACACAATACCTCTGGTTGTGAACGTCTGCCTGCACTCTAATATAAGAAGTCTAAACTCTAATCTTGATAACTTGATACAGATGCTCTCAGAATTTTCCTACAATTTTTCAGTAATAGGTCTTACCGAAACCAGATTGAAAACTACTCGGGAGAACTTGTGTAACCAATACTTGAATGGCTACGCATTTGTTTCTCAGCCTAGCTTATCAAATGCTGGAGGTGTTGGCTTTTTTATAAATGACAGTCTTTGTTATAATGTCAGACATGATCTCTCTGAAATAGTGGCAGGCTATGAAACTCTTTGGATTGAAATCCAAAGTAGTCTTATTAATCAAAATATTATCTGTGGTGTGATCTATAGACACCCACATGGTGATATTTCAACTTTTATGACGTATTTAAACAATACACTTGACATAATTAATAATGAGCAAAAGTTGTGTGTTTTGATTGGTGACTTCAACTTAAATCTGCTAAATTTGGGACTCTCATTCTCCAACTGAAGAATTTTTAAATACATTAGGCACTTATTTCTACAACCCTTATATACTTCAACCTACACATATAACTCACCACTCAGCTACTTTAATTGACAATATATTTTTAAATTCCATTAGTCACCATACGATCAGTGGAAATGTTGTTTATGATCATCTTCCTAATTTCCTTATCTTAAATAACTTTTCCACTTTGCCTAAAAATTTTGAACTATTTAGTAGAGATTATTCCAATTTTAATGAATTGAATTTTCTCCAGGATGTACAGGCTGCTGATTGGACCAACAATCCTGCTAATAATGATGTAAATTTATTGTTTTATTCATTTTATGATAAATTATCAAACATTGTTGATAAACATATCCCGAACAAGAAAATGAGTAAAAGGGAAATTAAGTGCCTTTCAAAACCATGGATAACTTTTGGTATTAGAAAATCTCTAAAAATAAAAAATAATCTTTACAAGAAGTTTATCAAATTGCAATCAGTTTATTATCATTCCAAATTTAAGTTGTATAGAAATAAATTAAATCATCTTATACGAATTAGCAAAATTAATTATTATAACAACTACTTTAGACATAATAAATCACATATCAATAACATTTGGAAAGGGATCAAAGAAATAATTTCTTTTAAGCCTTTGAGGAATAGTATACCATCTAAGGTTGTTGTTGACAATAATGCAATAACAGATATACTGTAAATCTGGGAGTGTTGCCACAACACCAAAATCGGTGTAAATTCTTGCCTCTGTGGGGACACCGAAAAGGTGTCAGTTAACACTGATTTTAGTGTTAATTTACACCTCTTCAGTGTAAATAGTTGTGTCTGTATGAACACCCATTTGGTGTTAATTTGCACCATCCTAGGTTATTTGACGCTGCTTTGGTGTAAATCCGCTTGCCTCTGTGGGGACACCAATTTGGTGTTTATTTACGCTGAGAGGGTAAACTTACACTATCCTAGGTTATTTAACGCTGCTTTGGTGTAAATCCGCTTGCCTCTGTGGGGACACCAATTTGGTGTTTGTTTACACTGAGAGAGTAAATTTACACTATCCTAGTTTACTTAACACTGCTCTGGTGTAAATCCGTTTGCCTCTGTGGGGACACCAATTTGGTGTTTATTTACACTGAGAGGGTAAACTTACACTGTTCTAGGTTATTTAACGCTGCTTTGGTGTAAATTCGCTTGCCTCTGTGGGGACACCAATTTGGTGTTTGTTTACACTGAGAGAGTAAACTTACACTGCCATAGGTTATCTAGCACTTCTTTGGTGTAAATCTACATTCCTCTGTGGCGACACCAAATTGGTGTAAAGTTACACCTCGAAAGTAAACTTACACTTCCTAAGGTTTAAATATGCTTGCAGTGCAAAGCTTACTTTCTAGCGTTCAATGTAATGTAATTATATTATACCAATGTAGTAACAGTTAAAAATAAATTTATTACAAATTTAAACTATAATTATTTTTAGAGTTTAAAACTATAGTCTA